AATATAGCGTAGCTGACAAGCTCAGAGAAGCGGAAAAGCTAGCTGCACTATGTAGCTATGAATAAATGAAATACATAAACAAAAATTGTGGATTATATTACTACCAAACCTCGATGTATAACTTGTTCGTGACTCGTTGAGCTGTAGACCTGATTGATGTTTCTTTATTCAACTAACATTTCGGCTATGTCGCCTTCTTCAGAGTTTGAAATCGTCAAATGTAAAGTAAGCTCTCCGATCAAATACCGCCTCTAGACTCAGAAAGACGCTTAGTGCGTTAGTAAAACAGGAGTTCAAAAGTGTATGCGAAATCAAACCAGTGCTCACCTAGACAGATGCCAATAAAGTGGTGGTGCGGACTACTGTACCAGCTATATTGAATATTGATAAGTGTTTCATCCATGTTTAAGCCCTTGATACATGGATTTTGATAGTTTTAGCTACTCTCAGCGTTATATATCTCCCACAAATCAAATCTAGTGAATCGACCCAGATGCTTTCTGCAGCTAAGAAAGGTGTTTTGGAACCAGCATTTTGAACTGCTTTCATATACCTATCTCGTGCCAAAAGGCCGCTTCGACTGCTGACACTTCCATTGTAAGAACCGTCAAACGCTTTTTTTGCGCACTCTCACTTTGACAGAACCATACTCTTGATCTGAAATGAGGTAGTAGTACCAATCCTGCTCGTTGTGTAGGCAGTGTCCGCTGAGCAGTGATTTTAGCCTCAAGATTTACTGAATTTTTTCACAAAAATCTGAAAAAAAAAACCCTACTAATCTGATTCGCACTGTTCACGGTGGCAAAAAATTGCACGCTGGAAACTGAGTTAAGATTTTCGTCTTTATAAAACAAAATGTCCTAAGCCCATTTTGCTATACAAAGCTGAGATAGCAGTCGTGTTGTGCTCAAGACTTCTATGCGACCTATATTATCACAGGAACAGGTCACTCTCATATAATACTACATATTTCTGAATTCAATAGTTTTTGAAATTTATATTCCAATAGGGAACATGCGTGCAAGTCCCCATCAAACAGTAATTCCAGCTCTTGCATGTGAATTACATGAAAAGCAAAGATCGAAAAATTCACACCTTTTTTATTGTCCTTTTGAAATACGGAACCACATACCGAACAACAGATTCCCTGAAAACGATAGCTTACAAGACTAGAACAAAAGAACTTGTGGAGAGCAATGTTTTCGAAAAAAGCCTTTCTCTTTGGATCTAGAAGTTCAAAAAAAGCTGCAGAAAGGACAGAACTTCTGCATTTACAATAATTGACGTGCTCAGAAAAAAAAATATTTTGTTTGGTTCGCTGACAATCTATGAACCTAGCGCATTTTTTAAGACAAGTTCACAGTTAAATCTATTTTCCCGAACGTGAAGCATGAAAATAGAAAAATTGCAACACGCATGTTGATGTTTTCATGTGGCAGGACAGGGTAAGCAATATGTTCAACACCAAGGCTCTAAACAAGCTTCCTTGAAGTTAACATTCTTGAAATATTCAACAGATTGACTAAGGCATTTGGAAAGTATTTAAATTATCGATTTCAACGGACGTCCTCTGCCTTCTCGCTATCGGAACTTGCGTAAGTGTGTGTGTCGCTCTGTGTCTCAGTGTCAACACAAAGACAGTTAGCGGTGACGACCGCATCACTGACTGTCTCGGCTCATCATTTCGTTTGGCAGCGTATTACTCAGAAAATCCATCAAAATTGCTTATTAATGAGCTTTGTCTTCAGATTTGAAATTCCCGCGTGACACATTCTAACTTCCCAGCTATTCTTCTAATGTTTGAATTTATAATCAAAGAATATGACTGTTAAAATGCCTTTCCAAACGTGTAAATTTCTCCACCAGCCTTGATTTTCCAGACTTTCAAGTGTCCCTAATAGTCTGAATTTTCGATAAACTTTTTTCAATTGAGCTACACTTTCCCATTTACCTCATTCTCGCCGAATTCGATTTCGCTTATCTCTCTATTATAATTATCACTTACTAAAACAATCTAAGATAAGATTTTCTTCACTGTTTTTCCACTATAAGCCTTATCTGATTTGCTTCTCAAAGTTGCCTTGTGATGAGAATTAATTCTGTCAATCACTGCCTATCTCACATTTTTTAGCTTCTATTGATTGCTTTTCTGTACATACCTCTTTCTTCTGAAACACTTAGGTTATCCTCGATGAGTTCTGCTTTTCTTAGGAGTTCAAGAAAATATTTTTCAGTCTTTTGTGGCCATTGAGCCATAATCAAGTATCGCAGCTACCAAATAGAAATACTCACTTTTGTAATTTTCGAATCACGACCAGACGTTTCTCTTCGAATTTGTGTGCTATCAGAAGGGTGTGAGGAATAGCAAAATAACTTTAATTCGCTAGAATCGAGCATCTTCTCACAAGGAAATTTACTCTAAGTGGCATTCTTAGATGGGATGTATAACATGTTAGAGCGCATAAAACGCCAATTCCAAATTTGCCTCTTTAATCTGCGGTATGTTTGTGCACGAGAAGTTATGAGCGTTCAATGTTATTATTCAAGTTCTTATTCTACTTGCACATTTGAAAATTTGAATGTGCAATCGGAATAAAAATAGTCGTAATTTTTTCTGTCACTTTGGTGTAGCAATAATAATTATCAGAGCACTTTATTCAATAATTAATTTAAGATAAAAAAATACCACGCTTGGTTGCTTTATCTGAAGGCCAGTAATTTTTACGCAACTCATTTCATCCTATACTAGCTTGCTTACCCGGCTCCGCTCGGCCCTGTCAAAACACTGTAATAAAGTTACCATCCCTATCCCTGTACACCCTTTCCCTGTGCCCACTTCTTCACTTCATTTCCCGTTCCCTGTGTTGTTTTCGAAATCAGCATGCCCACTTACCCCCTGTGCCAACTTCCAGCCTTTCAGCTCAAATTTTGAAAAAAATATTGATAAAATTGATAAAAGTAATAGGTAATACCAAAAACCAATATTGTATTCGTAATTAGCATGCCCACTTACCCGCCTCCCCTGTGCCAACTCCCAGCCCCGCAGGTAAAACTTTACAAAAAAATCGATAAAATCGATAAAAGTAATCGATAATCCTGAAAACCAATATTGTATTCGGAATCCCCATGCTCGATTACCCCCCTGTGCCAACTCCCAGCCCCGTAGGTGAACTCAGCAAAAAAATCGATAAAAATCGATAAAATCGATATCGGTCGATGACGAAAAGTAGCCTATGACACCCGCCGGGGCCCGAAGTGTTTGTGTGCCAAGTTTGGTCCGGATCGGTTGAGAAATGGAATTTTCTACTCGGAACATACGTACAGACACACACAGACACACACACACACACACACACACACACACACACACACACACACACACACACACACACACACACACACACACACACACACACACACACACACACACACACACACACACACACACACACACACACACACACACACACACACACACACACACACACACACACACACACACACACACACACACACACACACACACACACACACACACACACACACACACACACACACACACACACACACACACACACACACACACACACACACACACAAACAGGCATTCAGCTTTATATATAAGATGCACATCCAGTTTTTGCTCCAATATGTACACGCTCATACTTTCTCGTCCATGAACATGCCGCGGATAGGAAATGCAGATTTGGAATCAGCGTTTATGCCCTTCAGTATTGTATAATCCTCTAAAAAATCCACTTCTCATAAACATCCCTGTTAGCTCGTTTCAAGATTTTTTTGGAAACTTGTGTATTTCTTATGGACTCGTTCTCAGGTGGAGCACATGTCCACGATATGAAAGCTTCATCATTTTTGGCTGTAGTACAGTTTGATGCTAAGGAAACTTGCGCTCTGCGCGGATAAATTGCGTTTATACTCATAGAAAAGGACATTTTTAGTGTTAGTTCTGATCAACTGATCTAAAAACGAAGCAGTTTCAGCATAATGAATGCGCAAGACTTGGTTGGGCATAATATCACTCCTAATTACAAACCACTATCGCTATCTCTGTATGAAGATTTTAAATCTTGAGAACAAAAGGCAAAAGCGTGCCATCATAGTCGGAGAATTTTCCCCCACGTATTTTTCAATGCGTCTATAGCCATTATGATGTCCTGTTCTAACATTCAAAGCTGAATAAAAGCTACAAATTGAAGATGTTAGTATAATTATAAATGAATGCATTCAAGCATGCACCGCGATTGAACTCGTTCTTGCTCCGCCCATTTTCCTCCTATTCGATGCTTGGTAGGGAGCGCATTCACAATCGCTCTCTAACACGGTACATCTCTTTGATCTGAGAAAAGAGAAATGAAAGTTCTTCTTCCGGTTTGGTTACCAAAATTTGGTACTAACCTTACCGACCGCATTAAAATAAATAAATCTATATTTACCAAAAAAAGATTTGCTAGCTTTTAAATGATTTCGTCTGCTCTTTTCTCTTTGAATTGTTAAGTTCAGCGTATGTCAAATACCAAGCTGTTTGTTCCCTCCGGTTTTCTGGTAGTTTGCACTATTAGGCCAGAGTTTGCTCCCCTCGTTGTCCAAATCTTTTCACACATTTGAAGAATCATGTTTCAGATAGCTTTCATATTATATTCCTATACAACACATTTGCATACATATCTTGCTTCACCTCCAGCAAGTCAAGGAAGCTTGCCACTCCATCCTTGCTTTTGAAAATAAAAATTCAAAAAACCTTTGTTGCAATCATTTATAGTCTTACTTACATTGTAGTCTTTGTCTTTCCTTCTAACTTTCTTATCTGTGAATAATCACCTTGAGATCAGTGCTATTTTAAGCTACCTGTTCAACCGTTATCTCAACTGTCAATTGGTTGCAATTTTTAACCGGCTTAATTTCGTGTCATTCGCTTTCCTATCGCCATCAAGTCTATAGAAACTTCTCAATGTGCAGTCCTACTCAGATTCTATAATTATAGCGAATGATCACTTGATTAAAAAACGTATCGACCAATGATCATAATTTTACTATTCTACTTTTGCTATATTCACTACTGTACTGCGCAAGCTGACTCCGTTGACCTATCGATACCGGAGGACGCGGTCGGGCGTCCACAAAATCTCGTACCGATCCGGTTTGTTTTCGGTCATACGTGGTTCTTATCACTTGTGTTTGTGCACTTGCGTTTTGATAATGACGAAAGTGACCTGATTTTGAAAACAGCGCTTTAAATTCAGTGGAAGTCTTAAAAGGGACCCAAGTTACTATTTCGCGAGAAACAATGAGATTCACTAGCTTTACTAGAAAATATGTAACCAGAGTACCTGTTTGATACTCTTCAAATCCTCGATTTTATTGCAGATAGCAGAAACGGTACTTTTCCGTTATCCGGAACCATTTTATCAAAAGGCTCTCATATTATACGCTCTTTAGTTCAAAAACAATTGTTCATAGATTTCACGAGGGCTGCCTCCTTGCCACTTGTCACGAAAAAACTGACGCGTTTTGCTCTATTTTGATAAGTTTTTTCAAAGTCATTTCCGGTGAGGTAAAAGAAAATTTATGATCATCTTAAAGCTATTCAACTGTTTTCTATGAGAGCAAAACAATCATGAACTTATTCTGGAGCATCTTGCTTGCTTTCAGCAGTGATTTAAAAATGTATTTCTTGTCAAACCCTTTTCGCTATGCGAATTTAGCCGAAAAGACTATGAATGATAGCTTGAAGTACCTTGCTGCTGCTTAATTCGCTTCTTAAATGACGGAATCTTAGCACTCTTCTATCCTGAAGCAAGTCCAATCTGTTCATCGATGATAGTATGTGTTATCATTATGACGATGTTCACTTTGAAAGTGTTTGACCAAAATGAGATCAAAATTAACTAAAAAACAGATCAAACTTACATGGATAGGTAGGGTAACAAAAACTCTTTTTAAAACCAGTTAAACATGTAGATGACATGTGAAATTTTTTTGACACGTGGCAGAAGGTTGACACTCTTTTATACGAACCAACGATCAGATATGGTACAATTTAGAAGCAGTATGCTTTTTTGGAAAAATGGGTCCGGATAACGGAAAAGTGCCGCAGAAACTTCCCCTAAACCAACTATTATGATAAAATTTATTTTAGAAACGAATCTTTGAACGATGCGATGAGAAATCTGTGCTTTTGTAATTACGCTGGTGATATCTGTGACTCAAACAATACATGTATCAAACACACATATGCAGCTTGCTTCCACTTCATGAAAGAGGTAAATTTCTTACATTTTGAGACTTCCGAAAGTTATTCAATCAATTTCACAATGAACTTTATGCAAATTTTCAACCCTCTATGACCTGAGAGTCCGTTAGCGAGATCGTGTTAGTTGAATCTAGTAATAGAGCATATCACTTTTGCCGCTGAAGCTAGTTTTTTTCTGCAGCAAAAATTTCTCTACAAATGGAGATCACATTTTTTTAAAAGACGATTTGCTCTCGTTTACTATCATTGGGAAAGCAAGACTGAAAGTGGTGCTTTTACCCAACAGGGCTGATATGAGGCTAAAACATACGATCTGATTTCTGTAGTATGAACACTAATATTGAGCACGATGGTTAGGAAGTTTATGTTATGATCTTAAGATGAGGAAGTCTCTCATATTGCCTACGAAAAGGGATATCACTAGAATTTTTTTGTTGCTTGATAATTTTGCAGAATATCACAAAAACTACGAAAAACTTGTTTTGAAATCTCCCAAAAATCTACCAACGTAGATGATGTACTTTTTATAGCCTTCAGTGGTTTTTGTATCCTATTACACATATTGAAACAGAAACGAATGGATAGAAAATCCGTATTATTAAGTATTTGTAAAAATATCCAATCATAACGAATATTTTCCAGATAAAAGAGTAGCACATGCAAACTAGATAATAGTGGCATGCAACTTAGCGACCAAAAAAAATCACTTCTTGAATGTTTTCTCTTTTTTTTTGGAATAGGCATTTCTATGCAAACTCTCCTTTTTATCTAGCGTCAAATCATACTATTACACTCAAGTAGGGGTGAAGCTTTCGAAAATGGTTACGAAAGTTATGCATCGACCTAATAACTGTGAAAATCTCACAAAGCCACATATAGTTTCGTCCAAACATTGCTTCAATCCAGGTTTACAACGCCGAACTCCGCCGTATGGAGACGGTGCATCAATATGGCTGCGCCACTCTTGAAAAAGGCAGCTCAGCCTCACATCTTACGGTAGATCTCCACCTCTGATTCGTCAATGCCAAGAGCACATCAGTAGATTAGAATTTAGTGCAACTCATTTCGTAGTCCTCATCGAACTCCGAAGAGTATAGCATGCTGTTATGAGGGTAACTATTGTAACCTGAGGATAACACCACCGCCTTATCGGCAGCTTCCCAAGGAAGCAGGTAAGACTGAAATTTCTAGCTCGCGCTGGGTCGAAAAGTTCCAAGAAGTGTTTTAGAGTACTATGATGAAGAGTTTTTGGATGATAAGCTACATCCAATAGTCCATGTGGTCCTACCAATGCTGCTAGCTGTATTTGCCATTGCGATCGCTGCCACCTGGTGCTTTCTGAAAAGGAGACGACGAGATGTGAAGAGATGGTGGCCATTAAGTAAGGATAGCAAGTCCTCTTCTATAGAAGTCAAGATCAGATCTGCTCTTTGAGCCACATCATTACTAAGCGTATATTTGTGTTAAGCGAAAAACAAGCAGGATCTTCTCCCCGTGCCAGAACTGGATCCAATGCTCTACGATGATTCCGGGTAAATTGCGTTTTTTATCATAACTTAATTCGTGTGAGGGAGGTAAACAGATTAAGAATAAATGTTTTTTTAGCGAGTTCTATGCTCAAGACTTGGATACAATAACCAGTTTTTCAATTTACGCTTACGTTTTCAGCAGCGGTTCCGGATCTGGAAATGCTACAATGGTACAACGAACTGTGGCCAATGATCTTATCATAGAGAAAGTCATAGGAAAAGGAAGGTTTGCGGACTCAGGCTTTTGTTGCTTAGCTGATGTTTATTTTACAGATATGGAGAGGTTCGAATAGCAAGATTCCGTGGAAGTTTGGTGGCTGTGAAGGTGCGTTACATTAGGTTGATGCAAAATTATTCTAATATTGTCTTCAAAAAACTGAAGCTTCGGTCAAACGCTATATTCCAGTGCAACAAGTTGTCCTTGGCTGGTCTTCAACTTAATACTGTATTCTAATGATGTCGCAGTTATCGAATAAATAGAAGCAAAAACCAAAATGATTTGAATTAAAAATGACTTCGATGCACCATAATATACAATACTTCGCAAAATTCTAATGTGGCAACAAACTAGTCTGTCGAACAGCCAGTCGCCAGCACTACAAAGTCAGGCAAATTTTGTTGAAAATTTGCCAAACATGGTTTCCACTAAGAAGTTTGCAAAAGATTACGGGAATGGTAGTAGATGTCTAAATTTTTTAGCCTGGTTTGAAAGAGAGACATACTTAACTGGCGAAGGCTTTATGAATGTTTTTTTACATCTATCAATAAGTGGAGGCGATTTTGCAAATAACGATATAATAGGGTATCCCAAAATTTTTACCTTTTTTTCACTACAACCGTCGCTTTGATTTGTATTGTTCTTCCAAGTCATTCGACAGGGCAATGCAAGCTCTATAAAATGTACCAATCTACCCAAATCGTAATCCAAGTGAAGTTCTGAGCTGAAATCTGATAGCAGTCAAAAGCGAATTCACGGGAAAAGTCGTATCTCCGCTTTAAAAGATCTTAAAAATTCCCCATTTATCCTAGCATATGCTTGACACATCAAACGTTCAACTGTACACATCCGTCTTTTTTCCATGGATAGAAATAAAGAAAAAATTGAATGGAATAAAATGGCAAACTCCGCCCCTAGACGTCCCGAGCTCCTTCCACGCAGGTGATCATGTAGCTCATAGAGCATGTGTTGTGCCTCTTGTAGGTGCCCTAGTTGTCGAGAATGCCTATGTTTAGGGTAAAAACGGTTAAAAAAACATGGGACACCCCAATTGATGGTTCTGGTCCCATCCTCGCAACAGCTTCTGATTCCTTGCCTTTTCCTCAATTTGAGCTATACATTTGCGGCTCACATGAATTGCCACATGAATTCAAACTCTGCCTTATCAATGAATGCGAGAACATTGCCACTACGTAGACAAATTTTTTTCACCGCTGGCGATTTTTCGCGCACAGTAAGGAAATTATTCCAATCACCCCCTCTGAAGACTAAAGGGTTTAAGTAGATATAGCTATAGACTAAAGCAAAATTTATAAAGCATGCAAAATTCAAACAGTGTGTGCAAATTTCTTAGAAGGCGAATACCTCGGAAAGCTGCGGCCGTAAAAAATGCCTGAGGAAAAACGTACACAAATGTATCAACTAATTAAATTTGAAGGAGGTTGATTAGTTCTTTTTAGTAAATATACAGGGTGTCCCAAAAGTAAGTACACACTTTTCAATCGTCAATATCTCTCTTCCCAATGAGTCTTTTGTGGCCGTTCAAGTACCATTCTGTATGGGAGGCTTCAACTTAGATTTACAGTATTGATCGAATCACCGATCGCTTTTCTTTAATGTAGGATTACGGTAAGAAGCATGTGGAACTTCCAGCATGTGGAACCATTGTGAAATATGCCAACTAACGAAACTTTTTTCTAAAAATCTGAAAATTTGTTTACTAAGGTTTTCGCGCACGCTAATTCCATTACACAACTTTTTACGAGTGTTTTCAGCTTTTTTGACGGTCTAATCACATTTCTAACAAATAATGGGAATTCGGCTATTACGGTTTACGTAGGATAACTTTGGAATGAAGCATCACAGTTGAGTGTGAATTTCATATTTGAAGTCAGCGGCTTCCTTTACCATAGTGTAAGAGTTTTCGGCTTGTTTGGTTTTGTTCCGAGGCAGATTATGGCTTCTATTGGCCTAAAATCCTTGTCGAAGTTCCTACAGTAATCCCACAGTAATGAAGAGCGATCGGTTATTCGCTCAACACTGTAAATCTAAGTTGAAGCTTCCTCTACAGAATGGTATTCGAAAAGCAGAAAAAGACATAATGGGGAGAGAGATATTAACGATTGAAAAGTGTGTACTTACTTTTGGGACACTCTGTATGTACTCGAAAAATTTTTAATGAGTCTATGCCTTGAAATCGATCTGTGCAGAGTTGATTCTAAGCATTCAGACATTTTACACAACCGAGGAAGATTCATGGAATAATGAAAGAGAAATCTACGAAACCCAGATGCTGAACCATGAGAACATTTTGCGTAAGTCACACATGGTCCAGCAAAAGTTGTTTCATTCAATGACTATGATGGAGATTTTCTCAGCATTCTTGTTCAGAATTCGTTGCCGCGGATATCTTCAGCATGGACTCGCTCACTCAGATGATCCTTGTCACAGATTATCATCCGTTGGGTTCTCTCTACGATTATCTTCAGAAAGAGCAAGCTCTAACCACACAAGAGGCCCTTCAGCTGGCGTATAGGTAGAATTTGCAAGTCCTCTGCTACATTCTTGAGATATATCGTTCCAGCTCTATATGTGGTATAGAGCATCTGCATGCCTCCGTGCTGGGAACGGGAAGTCGACGAAAGCCGCAGATTGCTCATAGGGACATCAAATCCAAGAATATCATAGTCAAACGCCCTGGAGTCTGTTGCATTGCGGATTTTGGACTGGCAGTGAGATTGTAAGTGTAAGCATTTGTTCAGTTTTGCTTCCAACTATTGCCATTACAGTGAGGATCGCCTAATCCCTGATAAGGTGAACATTCAAGTGGGAACGAAGCGTTATATGGCACCGGAGGTGATACGAAAGGACTTGAATCCGAATTTCTTTGCACAGTTCAAGATGGCTGACATGTACTCGTATGCTCTGGTGCTGTGGGAGATCGCTCGAAAAGTCGAGGTAGGAATTTTCCACATCTGTCCGAAATCACCGTAATCCGATGTCCTTGGGCGTACGGCGATTCTGAGCCATCATACTGTGACGCCGACGTCTGAATTGCTGACACCGCGACAATGTGGCGCCATTTGCCGTCTTGCCCATTTTTTAGCTCGACGTATTAGGACTATAGTATCGATTGAAAATATGAAACAAAAACAAAAATAGCGGCAACAACGGTTACGTTCTTCAGTGTGCGGATGTGCGTGGAACGTCAATCGCCTCGGGAGAGTCTGGCTATAACTCAGCGAGCAGTGAGGGCAAAGGTCTCACGATGTATCCTGAATTCAAAAACGACAACAATTACCGAATGCAGCACATGCAAAAGAGTTCGGATGGGGTGAGGCGTGCCCAAGTCCGCAATTGCGTACTCTATCATATCACCGGAAGTATGAATCCTCAAAGTCGTACATTTCAGTCGAGAAGATCGTATCCCTACAAGCCGCCATTCGGTGAACTTGTCGATAGCGATCCATCATTTGCCGAGATGGAGAAGATAGTTTGTGGAGCTAATGGGAAGCGACCACCGCTCGAACCATCTTGGACCAATGGCAGTAATGTAGGCGGAGCTAATGATTGTTCATAACATTACTACCATCATTTTGGCGGTACCTTGATTAAACCCATTGCTTTTAATTCAGCCTGAATTTCCGACTTATCGTTGTATCATTGACTCGGAAGGCTAAAAATAGTTCAGAATTCCCTTATGGTAGTGTCTACAATGTGATTTAAAAACCAAGATTTTGCTCCAAAAAACTCAAAATCTCTTTTTCGAAGAAAGTAGTATAGCCTGTTTTAGCATGAACTAACCGTGATTATGGCGCTAATAGGCAGCTGCAGTAATATGGTAGTTTGCTAGAATTTATCTGATCAATACCTTCTCAGGATTCCCTGTCGTATTGTACATTATTACTTTTCTTTACAGATTCATCTACAAAAAATGGTGGGTTTGATGGTGGATTGCTGGCATCACTCACCCCATTGCCGACATACTGCTCTCAAAGTGAAAATTGCTCTTGGAGAGGTTATCGAAGACTTGAAAGCACATCAGGTGTGTCCTGTCTATCCTGACTTTCTTAACTGTCTTCGTAATACTGGTCCGTAAATTTTTCAAGGCATTTTCTAAGGCTTCGTTCTAGGAACGCGAAGCGAAAGAGCGCATATCGTCACAAACCATGAAAGTCATCAACGAGGAAGTCGCATTCGATTGCTCTCGTGAAAGTCCACGCTTCGCTACGAAAAAGAAAGATCAATCATCGTACCTCGCAACTTGCTAATGGTAAAAATATATTTGTTTTGTTTCATCCACTGGTCTCGCTATTCACTTTATGTAGAGGTACTGCGTGTGAAAAAGCAGTACTAATCTCATGTCATGCAACAACTATCAGAATACGATCTTTTTTGTACTTGTATGATTTTTTGTACACAACAAACAAGTTATTTGTCTCTTTGTATATATCTTTATTATTTTATGCTACCACTACCATTTAATTGCAATGAACTTTTGGCCCAGAGGGTGTTTTGAAGATATATTTGCACCTCAACTACACAATACGAAATTCTACAATTACCCGGTAACCGCTGCAAAACTCATGACTAGCGCAAACATTGACTCTTCTAATTTGCTATAGAAAACTATCTATTAATAAACATTACCGACAGCTCAGCACAATTACAACTCTACTTTCTCGTGTTAGGGTGTCAAAAGCAATGAGAGCTTTACGCAAAATTAGTTACAGTTTGTAACACGGCCCGGCACGAGGTGGGCAAACGGGGTTTTCCAAAACGAATTCCCGTTTGATCCCAATAGTCTTTACGAATACCTCCTTGAGCCCAAAAATGATGCTCTGTGCTTGTGCAACGAGAGCACGGCCACACTTCGCCTAAAAGCGCTCAAAAGCGCCCAAAATGCTCAAATTCCTCTAATTACTCCTCATCTCTATCAAGATAGAAAACAGGAAGAAGAATAAGCAAGGAATGAAAAAATATCAAAGTAACGCAGTCACAGGACTGAGAGACGCGTTCCCGCGCGTATCGATTGACTGGGGCGCGCTTTCCATCCTAGAAAGCTAGGCTGCTGATGCGATTTTGGGCTCTAACAAAGACAAGAGGAAGAGTTTCTGAACCAAAATCTCACCATATAGTAAAGTTTAGGTGCACAACAGATTTATGTAAAAATTTTGAAAAATTATGCGAACTAAAAGTTTTGCCTACCTCAGGTGGGCATTAGGTGGGCAATTGCCCACCTAATTTGGAAAATAGTTGAGCACACTCTTCATTCACATAAGTTTTTCATAATTTTTCATACATTGTTCCTTAGTCCTACTGCGCTATACACACCAAGTCTCGGGCGATTTCGTTTCTCTGCGCTGCAAACGAGCCTTTTTTCCATTTTCTTGGTAGTGGGAATTTTTCAGAAAAAAGCTTGCCACAACCTTTAGTCACATAATTTTTCAATGAAACTTCTAAGTTAAACCCAGCAGGCCGGTGTTCATGTACCTACCAAGTTTCATACCCTATGGTCATCTGTACGCTGCAAATGAGCCATCTGAATTTACATCTTCATTTACCAACTTTGCAAAATTTTTGGAAAAAATGCTTACTGTTATTACGCCTCCCATTCACATAAGTTTTTCATAATATTTCATACTTTGTTTCTACTTGCCTTTCTTCGTTCGCTTACGCAATTTGGTGCTATATCGTTACATCTGCATTGAGAAGTGATCATGTAATCATGCTGTTCAACGGCATCGCTCATGCGACGTCGCGCACGCGGCAATTAGCGGCAACACGGCGTAGCGCGCGCGAACTCTGCTGCGCGTTGAGGTTCATGAAAACTATCTCCCAATGAATTAGATGTATAAGGTAAGCATGATTCGACCTTCTTTTGCTTGCACTTGGAATCTTCTTCCGGGGCTCCGCCCTGGATCCTGCAAAAACGATATCCCCTTTGCGTTTTGGCCCCAAAACCATTTCCAGCTTGACATTTGCCTACCTCGTGCCGGGCCCTGGTGTTAGTGAATTTGTTTCGTTGATACTTGATTTTTTCTACTGTCGAAAAATACCTCATTAAAGGGTTTTATAAATTTCGAAGAAAACTGTGTACCAATGTTGATTTGATACAGAAATTGCATTCCTGACTGCAACTAATACAACTGCTAGGTAAACTCAATGCTTTTCTATGCCGCTTTTAACAAACTTTTAAATCATTAGATAGATTCCTGCAAATTGAAGTTGAACGTTGAAGTCAAGCTAAAGTTGAAAAAATGAAGATATTAGAAAAACTGGAGATATAAGAGATGAGAAGGTATTTTACCACTGGTATCTAATGGTAGAAGGTTGGAGTCGCAATACATGCATTGTAGACCAAGTAACTAATCAGATGTAAATTCCGGAACATCCAGTGCCGGTGCTCGGTTACGCTCTACGGTCGATCAAGAGTGATGTCAACATTGAGCAAGTCGGAGGCAAACGTGCTTCTCTCTTACCCACAAACGAGAACTGCTAAATCATGAATATGAGTAAGAAGTGAAACATGCGAGGTCACCATCCGTTGGCAAAGCTTAACTGCGTACTATAAGAACCATGATTTCATTCCAAGCATAGAAAATCACATCCGTTAAGTTAATGTCATGTTTTTTACTAACAAGTAAAAGTAACTTATCCCAGTTCAGCAAGCGCAATCTAAAGACAAGAAACCATCTGAATGGTCTATGTTCGTCTAGCCATTGTCGCATGCGGCACGAATCATAAAAAACTTATTGGATCGAATGAGTAATCAAACCATGACATTCTATGACATATAAGTGTGCAAGAATCTTGAAAACCACAAAACACTCCGTTGAGTCTTGTGTAGATCAACAAATTCTTTTTAGCTTCTATATGTCTTAAAGGCAGTGTCCGGGCAAAAAGTCGATTTTGGGATTTTGTGCTTACCCGTTCACTATGCTGAATCCGAAAATCCATATTGGAAAGCGCAAAAACGGCAAAAAAGGGCTCTAACGCAGGAGGGAAATCGAAAGTGGGCGGGGTCTTCCCCACGCTCTTGGAGCGATCTTCCCGATTCCTCTAGCGCCCTGAGATCTCCACCGGCCAGGTGTGAATGCATGACTTGAAATCGGAACCGAGAAAATCGCTCTGGAAGCTGAGAGGTAAATTCACAGTGGGGAGGACCCCGCCCACCTGCTGATTTCCCTCCCGTGTTAGAGCCGTTTTTTGTCATTTTCGTGCTTTCCAATGTGGATTTTCGAAGTCAGCATGGCGAATAGGCCCGGGTAAGCAGAAAATCTCAAGATCGAGTTTTTGCCCGGACACTGCCTTTAATCGAACTTCGTACATCTTGCTCTTGCACGATTGACTTTTTGAAAAACTTGGTTACAGATGCGCCGGTAATCTACCTCCTCGCTGCCGCTATTGCAGTATTGGCCAACGGTCAAGTGCAGAACTCTGGCTCTGAAGACGCCGAGCAAGTTTAACCTGCTCCAGCTCCAGTGAGCTCCGATGGTGGAGATCAACAAGCCTACAACTTTGATGCTGCTGCTCCAGTAGCTCCCGCTCCTCATCCTCCACCTCCTCCACCGCCGCCACCACCACCTGCACGACTGCTTACTCCATTCCCACCACCAGCGGATACGCGTCTCCGTCTCCACCTTCGTATGCAGCACCCATCCGAAACAGTTATGCATCCCCACCTCCAGCTTACGCAGTACCCGTCAGGAACAATTACGCCTCTCCACCTCCATCCTCATACGCGGCACCTGTCCGTAACAGTTACGCGTCTCCACCTCCAGCTTCATATGCAGCACCCGTCCAAAGCAGTTATGGAACCTCACCACCTCCGGTTTCATACGCAGCACCTACCCAGGCCAGCTATGGAACTTCCCCACCTCCAGCTTCGTACGCTACACTTGTCTCCGACAGTCCTTATGGACCCACCAGTGATACTCCAGTAACAGTGAGTCTTTGCACGCTTCCTTGCCATTTGAGCATCAAATTGAATGTTCCATATTCCAGACTGGCAACGAAGTTGGTTACAGAAGATACCGTGTCTTCCGCAATCGCGTCCGCAGTGCTCGTATTTAATTCAGTGCTCTAACACAATAACAAATAATGCACAGTCCGAGTTTTCTTTTTCATTCGCGAATGAGATTCTGTCTTCCATGAACAATTCCAACCTACTGTTATCCATCTGAACACATTATTTTGTAGCATTATGAACACGCTGAGCACAAGGAGTAGAAATATACTGCTACTGGAAGAGGACGAGAAAGTAAAAAGCAAAAATTCTGTGGTAGATCAAAAAGCGTCGGTTAAAGGTTTTTTTAGTTAGGGAATTTTTTGAAGTTTCAGAGGCGAGTCACAAATCAACGACTTCCCTTGTAACACTTTTATGGCATGGCAAGAAAGTTTTATCAATCAAAGTTCAGCTTAAGTAAGTGGTTGCACAGAATATACAACTCATTCTCTTTCAGCAACATCTGAGACAGAATGAGGCCCAAACTTGAATCATCGACGTCGCTCTTTCAAGGCTCACAAAACTTTCTGAACAAAACAAAGAACTCGTGGCACATAGGAAAATGTAGAAATAGAAAAATTTGATGTCTTTGAGGCTTCTTCGCCTAAGTGTTCGCATGGCATTGGCTTGTGGCTACCTGTTATAGTCATTTTAGCCATTTTAGAAGGAAAAAACGCTCGAACTCATACAACTGCTTGACAGTTTTTTCTTAGCGATAGTGGGATCAACGTTATCAGAAAATAGAGATTGAAGCTTTCATCTGTCTCTTGCAGCAGGTCACCTCTACATTTTCAACGTAATCAGACAGTTTTAGTGATTGGCTTATCAAAATGTTAGGACTAGACCAGTATGTCATAATTCGTGATCTTAGTCTGTACAAATCTAAACTACAATAAACAAAAAATTTGCCGCGAGAAGATGTCTAAAGAGTATTTCAAAAAGCCAAAGGCTAAAAGACTAACGCTTAATACGGTCATTCAAAATTATTTCTGCCACTGCGGCCATAAATAGTGTAGGTAAAGTTTCTAAGGCTATGAATTTTCAAAGGATAGCACTAAACTTGTTTGGCCTTCCGTAAGGAGACACATATCGTTAGAATCAGCTTGAGACGGTTAGTCCAAACCACCATTCCTAGCTGCAAAGCATTGTTCTGAAGAGTTCTGAGCTTTTTATCAGTACGGGCACTTGACAAGTCGAGGAGGAATACGCAATGACATGAGCACCTAGATACCGTAACATCAGTAAATCGATAAACATGCGAATTTTGCTCAGAAAAGCTCGTAATCTCTCTAGAAGGCCAATCCAAGTTAAATGTCTTCTCTGTTAGTCTCGCCTTTCCTTGTCGTCCATACTTCACATCTCCTCAAAAATTTTAATGCCTTGTGGTCATTTTTGTGGACAAGACTGATGGAAAAATTATGAAGTTCTGTTGACAGCATGAACAAGGATGATGGGCCCATAATGTTTATTAAGTTCATCTTTTTGCATTGATGATTGTAAAGCTTGACAAAAACAGGTCGCATTCTCTAAGCACAGACAACCATTAAATTCAATGACTGTGGGCCATGCTTTAATCTCCGACTTTATTTTTTGGAATTTTATACTCAAAACGACATTTTAGGTTTTGTTCTTTACGAGAAAGGCTGACTCACAGATATATCCTAGGGTTGAAATATTGTTCTCGATGTCGGCACTACTAGGTGTATCGCTAAGTTTGATGAATAAAAAAGGAAACAACTTTGAAAGAACTTGACAGAGAATTAACACTGCCAAAAGAGGGAAAGAGGGGAACAACCTTGAAAACCATCTATAGATATTGTTTGTTGATGGGCACGTGATTTCTTTTTTCTTACAATGTAACTTCCTCAAAAAAATCAGAATTGAAAGCCCTAGTGTTTACTTCACACAATACTCCGTAAGTCAGAAAGAGGTGTTGTGTGTAAAGCATGGCTGAAAATATTTCTCTACAGGGCTACCAACAGTCATAGTTAACAGCGCTATTGAAGGTGTCTTATAACACTAATGGCAAGATTTGCAATTTCCCCGATGAAAAACAATCTTTTTCAGAATTGTTCTCGAGAAGCTAGTCATTTGCGAAAAAGCAAAACCAATATCGAGACAGACAATTTTTAGGATTTGCTAATCCTTTGTTCACTGTTCCTGCTTAGCGATTGTGTATTTAGCCCATTTATTATGAGCTTACGTTACTTCGAAATCCCAAATTTCCCTTAAGGACTAACATATAGTGTACCGTTATATCAATATGTGATGCTGGCTGTCACCTTCCTCTATGATCAAACAGAACAAGAACTGAGTTCCGTGAGCACCAGCACCTCTCTCGTCGAAAAGAAACGAAAATTAGGGTTATGGCATTATTTATTCATTTAAATGAAGCATGTTTGTAAGAGCTTTAGAGGCGAGCACTGCGAAGACGATGACGGAAAACACGGTATTTTCTGTATCCGATGCCGTTGCCAGCCTTAAGGAATCGATTAACAAAATTTTAAATAAAGCTAAAAAAACCTAGAAGAAAACTCACTAATGCTGGAGTATCACTGGTAAGTCCGTCAGTGTTAAGAGGAAGAGGTGTTGGGAAAGGGGAAGTTCCGTAACTGCCTTGCATAGGAGGGTACGAAGGTGGAGGTGGAGGGGGTGGAGATGCGTAGTTGCCTCGGACGGGTGCGGGTGGTGGTGGTGGTGGAGGAGGTGGAGGAGGTGGTGGGGGAGAAGCAGGAGCTACTGGGGCAGCAGCATCAGAGTTGTAGGCTTGCTGATCTCCACCATCGGCGCTCATTGGAGCTGGAGCAGGCTGAACTTGCTCGGCGTTTTCGTAGCCAGAGTTCTGCACTTGGCCATTGGCCAATACTGCAAAGGCGGCGGCGAGGAAGGCTATCAGGCAACGCATCTGTAAAAAATTTTTTTTCAGAAAGCAGAAGTGAAAGCGAATAGTGTAGGTTTGTGCATTGCCAGAACTCGGATAAGCTAAGAAGAGCTGAATTTTGCAGCTTTGCAGCGAACTGGTGGAAACCTACGCACACTTTCTTTATATACTAAAGTTTCGCAGTTTTACTACATCATTCGATCCAGTAAGTATTTATAGGGTGCGCAATAAACCTTATTGTCTGTTTTCTAACCTGCCTGCTCCTTCCAACATTTCACCCTTCCAGCTTGAGTTGACACTGGTGATCTAAGGACAACGTATGGATAGTTGCATAGAGCCTGACTTTGATGACCTTCAATCTTAGAGCTGAAATGAAACGCTCATTTAAAAAAAGGAACCACCAGAGTGCGATAGTTTTATTGTCACCTGATCTTTCATACGAAGTCTGTTTCTCAGAAATCCTTCCTGCTGTTTTTGGCTTTCGCATGAACTCAACACATAGACCATTGCATGGCGTAGTCAATACCTGGATATATAAGGACATTGGGAAATGAAGAAAAACAGAGTACATAGTTGTTAAGCATTGCCCATACACTCGCTGACAAAAAGCTAGGTTTTCTTCTGCTAGCGGGGATACCCGGCTTCGCTCGATCCCTAACAATTCGCACCATTACACCACACAATATTTCCCTGTCTCTGTCCCTCTTCTGTACACCCTTGCCGTCACTGTGTTCTTAACCAAAGCGTTATCATCCCTCCTTACCCCTCCCCCCCCCCCCCCCCCTTCCCTGGTATCGACTTCCAGCGCTTTGCGCCATTGCATTGCGCACCGTATAAACACTTAATGGATCGAATAGTAAAACTGTTCAAATCCATAGCATATAAAGAAACTCTGCAGAGGTCGTCACCACATTCGATGCAAACCCGGCCAGCTCTTCCTATTACGGTTTTGCCAACGCATATATGACAAATTTCCACTTTTACTTCTACTTTATAATAACACTGATTACAGATGCGTTGCGTAGCTGTCTTCCTCGCCGCTGCTGCAGTAGTGGCCTACGGCCAAGTGCAGAACTCCGGCTACGAAAACGCCGAGCAAGTTCAGCCTGCACCAGCCCCAGTTAGCGCCAATGGTGGAGATCAACAAGCTTACAACTCTGATGCTGCAGCATCAGCTCCCGCTTCACCTCCTCCACCTCCTCCACCTCCCCCACCACCACCGCCATCACCGCCCGCACCCGTCCAAGGCAGTTACGCATCTCAACCTCCAGCTTCATACCCTCCTATGCAAGGAAGTTACGGAACCTCTCCACCTCCATCTTCATACACAACGCTTGTCCCCGGCAGCACTTATGGCCCCACTGGCAACACTCCAGTAATGGTGAGTCTCTTCTCAGCCTTTCGCTATCCACATTAAGTGAAAGTGATCTGCATATCTGATTTTTTCAGCCTGGCAACGGCATGGGATACAGACGCCGCCGTGTTTTCCGTCACCATGCTCGCAAAGCTCGTTTCTGAAATAGTGTATCATAAAGGAACGCGATAATAAACAATAGTAATCAGGTGCTTGTTCTCCTTGGATGAGGGAAGACTGTGCTTGAAAAAACCTTAACATTGTAATACAGCTTGGAATGAAATGACAATAAAGCAGGGCAAAAGTTCTGAATATAAATGTAAAATGAGCCTAGAGGAACGCCTTTCTTTTGAAAACTGAATGATGTAAGAATAAGCAAGTGGTTTGAATTCAGTGTGAAAAGGAGCTGCTAGCGCCATAGTGTATTTTCCTGAAGATGTTGATAAACTCATTTTGTCGCTTATACGATAATTGAGATTTCTGCAGTGACACTTGTGCGATTGTTTGTTTGCCCTTTGTCATAAGTACCAAATCGCTATTTGAATGTGGGCTTCTAATCCAGCTCTAATTTGGGTATCTTCACTGCAGTTTTTCAAACGAGCCAGCCACAGCGAAGAGGAAATTGACTTTGACTTTCTACTTTCAGCTTCATACCCTGCATCTATGAAAGGCAGTTACGGTACTTCCCCTTCAGGGCCCGGCACGAGGTGGGCAAATGGGGTTTTCCAAAACGAATTCTCCTTTGATCCCAAAATTTTGAATACCCCCTTGAGCTCAAAAACGATGCTTTGTGCTTGTGCAACGAGAGCACCGGCCACACTTCGCCTAAAAGCGCTTAAAAGCGCCCAAAAGCGATCAAATTCTTCTGTTTATTCCTCACCTTTATCAAAATAGCAAATAGGAAGAAGAATAAGCAAGAAAAATGATGAAGTAATGAAGAGATATCAAAGTAACGCAGTTATATTACTGTGAGATGCCGTTATCGCGTATCGATTGACTGGAGCGCGCTTTCCTCCTTAGAATGCTGGGCTGCTGATGCGATTTTGGGCTCTAACAGAGACAAGAGGAGGATTTTTGAAACCAAAATGTTACTGTATACTAAGCTTTAGGTGTAGAGCAGATCTATGTAAAAACTTTGGAAAACTTATGTGAACTGGGAGTTTTGCCTACCTCAGGTGGGCATTAGGTGGGCAATTGCCCACCTAACTTGGAAAATAGTTGAGCACACTCTTCATTCACATAAGTTTTTCATAATTTTTCATACATTGTTCCTTAGTCCTACTGCGTGCGCTGCAAACGAGCCTTTTTTCCATTTTCTTGGTAGTGGGAATTTTTCAGAAAAAAGCTTGCCACAACCTTTAGTCACATAATTTTTCAATGAAACTTCTAAGTTAAGCCCAGCAGGCCGTTCATGTACCTACCAAGTTTCATACCCTATGGTCATCTGTACGCTGAAATGAGCCATCTGAATTTACATCTTCATTTACCAATTTTGCAAAATTTTTGGAAAAAATGCTTACTGTTATTACGCCTCCCATTCACATAAGTTTTTCATAATATTTCATACTTTGTTTCTACTTGCCTTTCTTCGTTCGCTTACGCAATTTGGTGCTATATCGTTACATCTGCATTGAGAAGTGATCATGTAATCATGCTGTTCAACGGTATCGCTTATGCGACGTCGGCACGCGGGAATTAACGGCGGCGCGGCGTAACGCGAGCGAACTCTGCTGTGCGTTGAGGCTTATGAAAACTACCTCCCCCTTGATTTAGATGTATAAGGTAATAAGCATGATTCGACCTTCTTTTGCTTGCACTTGGAATCTTCTTTCGGGGCTCCGCCCCGGACCCCGCAAAAACGATTCCCCCCTTGCTTTTTCCAGCAAAAACGATTTCCATCTTGTTGCCCACTTCGTGCCGGGCCCTGATTTGTAAGATTTTCTCTTAGAAAGCTTTTTGCTTAGAATTGCCTTTTATCATTGAGTAGAACGAACATTAAGAATGTTGGCACAGTATCACAGTATCCGGACCCAAAATCCCAAAAGAAAGGGATTCGCTCACACTTTTTTGAGGGGGGGGGTATTCGAAATATGCAGACCACAGATATCGTACTCCTTTCGATTGCTGGAGCCTTTCCGTGAGGTTTACGTATACGGTGATCGATCAAAATTCATAGCTTTGGGTGAAATTCAGCCTGGAGTTATTTAATATGCTGATCCTTAATAGTATCAAGGATACCATACCTTCGATACATAGAGCCACGTACTCTGTTAACCTTCACTTTGAGTGTCATGAGAGGACATAACCTTCACCTGGAGAGGAGTACAAGTCATCCGGGGCGAAGCCCCGGATATTATGACATAACTAATGACTAACTATGTAAGGATGAATGTGAATGAGGCATATAGTAGTGACATCCAAAGAAAAGCTCAAAAAACCGAAAGATTGCGTTTTCATGGCCTTTTTTGCTGAAAAGAGGGTTTTTCTTCAAAAATTCAGTTAGAAATTAGGATAAAACTTATCAGTTAACCTTTCTATAGACTGCGATTGAGCGTTGGAGGTTCATGAAAGCAGCTGGAGTTCAACAAAAACGAGAAACTGCGCTGAAATCTTGCGCAGAGAGTCGCCACATAAATGCTGGTCTCTCTCGTTATGGAGTGAGATTCAAGACCCGCGACGTTGTCAGTGCTCCTGGCCGTGTCATGAGGATCACAACGATATATAATATTATAGGGTTTCGTTATGACCCCGCGGAGATCAATGACCAGAGCCAAATGCCCCGCCGGCTCTGGTCTCTCTCCGCTGCTCGTCTGCGTCTCCGCGCGCTGCGCGCTACCTCGCTACCCCAAGCGCGGGGCGCGGGGCATTTGGCTCTGGTACCCTTTTCTTCGCTGTTTCGAACCCAATTTTAGCAAGCTATATATCATTTTGAAGCTATTGATCTCTATTTTCACGCTGACAACGTCGCAGGACTCCTTTTTATGATTTAAACAAGAAATCCGGCAAAAACCTTGTTTTTGAAAATCTCTCGTTTTTCTCCTAGTTTGACTCTTTTCACGCAGTTTTTTTGTGTAGTCGATAGGTCTTGTTTCTGTATATAATGTAGACAACGTCGCCGAGCTTATTTCTTTGCTTATGCCGCTTTTTTTGTAGAAATTACTAAAAAATGCGTTTTTCTTTACCTTATTCTTTTTCAGTAGTTTCGCAACGAATTTTCTCCAGCTTGGACGATACTTGCTCAATGATGAGCGGAAGAATCCAGACAACGTCGCAGGGTACAAGAGGGACGGCGCGGGGGTAAAAATTTAAAGGACGCATCAAAAATCAACCCCGTGTTGCGAATTGCTGGTCCTGGAGAGAAAACTTGCACTCTGTAAAGCCGCCAAATGAAAGATTTCAAATCTTATTGCAGCGTTTGTATCCGGTTTACAGCCGTTTCTTTTGCTTTTTATGTCTGTTTTACGTCATATTCTCTTCTCTGATCTTCTTTGAACAACCTTCACCATTTGTGACGTCACATGTTCAAACAACCTTCACTTTTGGCGCCCTGTCTCTAGACTATCGAAGGTATGCTTAATACCGTCTTTTCTGCCAGAGAGGGTCATCCGTGGTCACGGTAGATATACCATAAGTGATTGGTTGCTAGAAAACGCTATCGCCCATTCATGTTTATTAGTCAACTAGCTGGCTTACCCGGCTCCGCCGTATCCGGACCAAACTTGGCACACATACACTTCGGGCCCCGGCGGGTGTCAAAGTCCACTTTTCGTTATCGATCGATGTCGATTTTACCGATTTTTCTCGATTTTTTTGCAGAGTTCACCTACAGGGCTAGGAGTTGGCACAGGGGGGAAGTGAGCATGGGGATTCCGAATACAATATTAGTTTTCAGAATTATCGATTACTTTTATTGATTTTATCGATTTTATCGACTTTTGAAAATTTGAGCTAGGGGGCTGGAATTTGGCACAGGGGTGTAATCGAGCATGCTGATCACCCCCCTTGGGGATGATCAGCATGCTTGATTACCCCCCTGTGCCAACTCCCAGCCCCCTAGCTCAAACTTTGCAAAAAAATCGATAAAATCGATAAAAGTAATCGATAATCCCGAAAACCAATATTGTATTCGGAATCCCCATGCTCACTTCCCCCCTGTGCCAACTCCTAGCCCTGTAGCTCAAACTTTGCAAAAAATCGATAAAATCGATAAAAGTAATCGATAATCCTGAAAACCGATATTGTATTCGGAATCCCCATGCTCGATTACCCCCCTGTGCCAACTCCCAGCCCTTGCAAAAAAATCGATAAAATCGATAAAAGTAATCGATAATCCTGAAAACCAATATTGTATTCGGAATCCCCATGCTCGATTACCCCCCTGTGCCAACTCCCAGCCCCGTAGGTGAACTCAGCAAAAAAATCGATAAAAATCGATAAAATCGATATCGGTCGATGACGAAAAGTAGCCTATGACACCCGCCGGGGCCCGAAGTGTATGTGTGCCAAGTTTGGTCCGGATCGGTTCAGAAATGGAATTTTCTATTCGGAACATACGTACACACAGACATACATACATACATACAGACAGACAGACAGACAGACAGACAGACAAACAGACATTCAGCTTTATATATAAGATTGATAATTGTAAACTTTATTTCCAAAGTTGCAAAAAATTTGCAGAGCATACAGCCAAACTTTTGTAACAGGTTGCGCAGCCTTTCGTTACTTTCAAAATTTATTTCTCCAACTCAAATTTATTATGTACGATCAAGCTACGTCTTAGGCTCCTTTTCCTGATCCCACTGAGTTTGCAACAGTTGAAAATAGTAATCTGATCCTTCCTCTCCGGCCACTTGTTGACCCATCACGTTGTCGATTTTTTTCTGGCGCTTCATGCGATGTCTACGTACAGCATAAATCATCACGGCGGGCACTAGCACACAATACCAGTTGAAAATCTGAAGTTTGTATTTGAGTCAGTTAAAAACACGGTTCTTTTTTCAAAAAATTAGGTTTGTTATGTTGCCAATCGGCCGAAAACTTCGGTTTAAAGGCAGCGTCCAGGCAAATCTGGACATACGGGGCTCTGATTTGGAAAATTCTGTTTTTTGATTTTGGCTTAACTAAGACGCTGCCTAAGCGGCAGCCCAAATGGTGAACTCACAGTTGAGATATTCGCCTTCAAACTGAACCCCGGCATCGTATTCGCATGGATTCATGGCGCGACACGCGCGGGTCTTCGCGCGAAACTGATGTGTCGCGCCATGAATCCATGCGAATACGATCCCGGGGTCCAGTGAGGCGAATATCTCAATTGTGAGCTCACCACTTGAGCTGCTGCTTGGGCAGTGTTTTAGTTAAGGCTCCAAGATTACTCTCCAAGTGAAATCCCCATAGGCCCACATTTGCCTTGACGCTCCCTTTAAGCTAGAGTGGATTAGTCACTGTTCAGGAAAAGTTATCAAGTTCTCAATGAATATAAGCCTCTTCATTTCGGAAAACGTCGCCATCAACAACCGCTGATATTGATACAGGACGTCTCAAAAGTATGTACACGTTGAAAACTATGTTTTCTAATTGTGAATAACACAATTTTCTGAAGCTCTTTGGCGAAATTGTCGGTATAGTATACTTGGGTCCGAATCGAATAGAAATTCGATCATTCGAATAAAGCATTCGAATATCGTATTCGAAATTCAATATTCGGATTTCTTCCATTTTCGAATAATATTCGAAACTCGAATAATTGAGAAAACGGGGTTTCGAATAAAATTCGAAACTCGAATAATCAAAAAACGGAGTTTCGAATAAAATTCGAAAACTCGAATAATCAAAAAACGAGGATTCGAATATTATTCGAAAACTCGAATAATCAAAAAACGGAGTTTCGAATAAAATTCGAAAACTCGAATAATCAAAAAACGAGGATTCGAATATTATTCGAAAACTCGAATAATCAAAAAAACGGGGTTTCGAATAGATTTTATTCGAATGTTTTATTCGAATGTTTATTCGATTTCGTATTCGAATGAACTCCGTAGTCAGATTATTCGAGTTTGTTGCAGAGCCAACTGTTGAGTATCAACTCGCTTCCTCCGCGTCTTTTTTTTCGCAAAACTCAGTAATGCATCTTTTGCAACCGTTATGACCTCTGAACTGCAAGGAGAGTCGCATTCTTTCGACTGCTTGCGACAATAAAAAAAAATCATATGTGGATTTTAATCAATGCTTTTTCGATCAATGAGACTGTTCGCACTGCTATTGGCACCAAATCAGAACAGAAGCTATCAAATTCAAGCTCATGTTCCGAGTTCATATATTGAAAGTGTTTTGAAATGCCTGTTTTTCTTTCTTTGAATTGCTCATGCTTGTGGTACGCAAAACCACACTAGTGAGCAGTCTTGCTCGCATAAGTTATATCGCACAACTGCCTCTATTCGCTACCTTGGAGATTTTTTGCGAATTGGTGTATTTTGAGTATAGGAATCGCAGTTGTAGTGGAGGGATTAGAGTTTAGATCGCCTTACGCGCTTTGCCAGTTACGAGATGTCTTCAAATATAACGCCAGCTTATCACAAATGTTTAGCGTGTACAACTTACTAGAAAGATAAATGCCTTGCATTCCGTACTTCTAGAATAAGTTTTGATCAAAGTTTATATCTACTGCTTTTTTAGATCGTCCAATAATGGGTAAAATATGACTTCTTGCTGATGAGACTGGTTGCCAACCGACCAACTTCATCGATTTTTGGAGAAGTTTGAGCTGCGGGGCTGGGAGTTGGTACAGGGGGAGTGAGGGCGCTGATTATGAATAAAGATTTACTTTATCGATTTTGTCGATTTTTTGGAAAATCTCGAGTTACGAGGTTGGGAGTTGGTACAGGGGGGGGGGGGGGTAAATGAGGATGCTGATTAAAATCGAAGTCTATTTTATCGATTTGAGCGATTTTTGGAAAATTTTGAGCTAAAAGTTGGTATAGGGGATACAAGGGTGCTGATTATGAATGGATCGGCTTTAGCCACATAAGTCGGCAAGTTTGAGATATGGTTGCTCTAGTTATTCGATAAATCATTCGAATATTCATTCGAAATTCGACTTCCAATGTTCGAATATATTCGACATTCATTCATTCGATATTTTTGATTTTCCGAATTTATTCGAAATTCATTCATTCGAGAATTCTTGAACCTCGAATTTATTCGATATTCGTTTACTCGAGATTTTTTATTTCCGAACTAGTTGGCAAACCCGGCTCCGCCCGGCCCTGTCAATAACATATTTGTAATCAGCATGCTCGATTACCCCCCCCCCTGTGCCAACTCCCAGCCCCGTAGCTCAAATTTTGCAAAAAATCGATAAAATCGATATCGATCGATGACGAAAAGTTAGCCTTTGACACGCTCCCTGCCCCGAAGTGTATGTGTGCCAAGTTTGGTCCAAATCGGTTCAGAAATAAAAATTTCTATTCCGCACATACGTACATACATACATATATACATACATACATACAGACACACATTCAGCTTTATAGATAAGATTTATTCGATATTCGTTTATTCGAAATTTTTCGTTTTCGAATTTATTCGATATTCATTCATTCGATGAAAAATCGAATTACCCAAGTATACGGTATAGTTCTGTAGAGCTGACTTCAACTCAGATTTGCAATGAAAACGAATTATGATTGCTCTTTAGCACTATGCGGTAGTACGTAGAAACTACTAGCATAAAAAGTCTTGTAGATAGCTGCCATTACAGAAATCTTAGAAAGTTAAAAGTTATAAGTATTCAAATTGTTACAATGGCAACTGTTTTCAATCAGTTCAATCACATTTTTAGAGGCGTGGAAACAGTAGTTAAAGGCAGTGTCCGGGCGAAATGGGGGTTTCGGGATTTCAGTGTCATGCGAGAGTAGCCCCCCTCAGACACAACATCGCGCAAGTGCGAGGTCATAACGCTCGACCTAAAGCAAGAAAAACGATCGGAAAGTGGGGAAACTTACGGCTTGGGGCGGAGTTCTCCGACCTGTTCGAGTTTCTGTTATGCGGCAGAGTACACATGCCGCCGTCAAAATCGGAGGGTGGAGGAACGAACACCTCAATTAGGCACCGCCTCCGCGGACTATTGGTCCCAACACGATGCATAACAGTAGGACGAAAGGACCAGCAGCCCGCGTAGAGGTACCTAACTGAGGTGTTCGTTTCTCCACCCAAAATCGGAGGGTCACGCAGTGATTCTGCATCTCAGCCTGGGGGGTGGGGACCGTCAAATTTCAAATTGTAAGGCTTTGAAAAACGCATGTTCTCACCGTTATAGCGCCTTCTAAAGTGGGTTTTCGGATTCAGCGTTGCGGATAACCCCCAGCAAGTGGATTTTCTGAAAATCGAATTCTTGCCTGGACCTGCCTTTAAAGTGTTCCTGGCATAAACTCCAAAAGAAGCATCACAGTAAGGTAGGTACAAATTTGATGTTTACCATCAGCGACTTTGATTAGTATGAGAGCTCCAAATCTTTCTTTAGAGCAAATTATGGCCCTCGCAAACGTAAACCTCTTCAAAGCTGCTGCCGTAATCCTACAGTAAAGAAGAGGGGGTCACTGATTGTTTTGTGATATATATCCAAGCTGAATTCACCTTTACAGGAAAAAAGGTCCGCCTAAAAACTCAAAAGGTCTCAAACAGTCAATCAAAGTGCACGTAATTTTGCTACATCTGCGCAATACGCTTATTATTATAGTATAAAATTAGCCTGAAACATCGTCTAAGGGGGTTACTTTGCATGCCGATTATCACATTTAATTCGCACGGTGGCGCTTTATCTGGTGGAGTCATAATAGGATGAAGGTAGGGGGTGTCAGAGGTTATTTGTATTTGGCGCGCTGAACATGTTGAAAATCATATTCATTTCGTGCGGTAGGGCTAGGTTCTCGGGTTACGGTGGGTATACCGTAGATGACTAGAAATTCCGAATTGCCTAGAGGGGTTCCTAAGCACGCTGATTACGAATATTATGCTTTTTTTGCGTTCTGGATCACAATAGGTGTACGGTAGGTGGTTGAAGTTATATATTAGCTCGAATCATTGTGCAGGGATGTTACCTGACGTGCTGATCACGTATATCGCACTCGTCTCGCACGATAAAGCCTTTCGTAGATTTTTGGAATCAAGTTTGGCTGAAAAGCTAAGGCTGCGTTCATACTGATCCCGAAGTCCGGGAACAGTTCCAGCACAGCGCTTGAAATGAACTGTCGGACTTCGGGCTCAGTACGAACGCAGCCTAGAAGTTGCTCTTGCACGCACTGTATCTCATCGTAACTCTAACAATAAGGCAGTGTTGCAGCGAACGAGCATGAGATATTTGCGATCACCATGCTTAAGACCCCCTTCAGGCAAAGTTTTGTGCAAATTCGGGATTTTTAGCCATGTACCGCACACCCTGATATTTGTAATCAGCATGCAAGATAGCCCCTTAAACGAAGTACAAATCGCGAATTTCATTTTGAATCAACTAATGGGAGCGCCGCTTACGAATTCGATTAAGCCATATACCCTCTGATTCAACTGGTTTGGTTGCTGGAAGGCAGAATCGTGACCTAATTAAAGGCTAGGCAATGATCAGCAGTCGAAGGGATACCTGAGGCGGAAAAATGGCGCGAGTTGCCACTTTGATAGAGCGAAGCAAGCTCTATAAAAAGACCTCCAAAAACCTGAGTCGTAATTCAGATAAAATGTGGGCCAAAAATCAAGTTTTCAGCTACCCTAAATATCGGCTCTCCTTCCAGAGAATTCCTACGAACTTCCAACTTGGTCTTTATATAGTAGACATATAGTAGTACTCAAAAATGTAATTGGCGGATTTTTTCCGGAACTCAAAACTGAGAAAAAAAGATGCTCCGAAAATGCCAAAATGCCACTTTTTCGGTTTTTTATGTAAAACTTGGTATTTCTCAAATATAACAGCAGATACAGAGGTAAGGTTTTGGAGTTATACTTAGTAAGGCTTGTGGTATACACTGACATATGTGGGAGAAGCTGGGGGCTGAGCTTGCCATTTTGGACAATTTTTGTTTCTCGCTTTCTATGCTCGGAAAAAGTTCGGTAAAGGCATATTGGAGTACTACTATGTGCCTAATGCATAATGACCAAGTTGGAGGTTTGTAGGATTCTTTGTCGCAGAAATCCAATTTTAGGTAACAAAATTTTTTCCGATTTTGGCTTCAAACTTTACATGAAATGCTACTTAGGCGAATCCTTGGTCGTCGTTTTGTGGAGCATGATCTATTCTATCGAACGATACCCAAAGTATACTAGGAAAACAAAAACAGCTTGAATTGTTTGAAAAAGGAGTTTACTTTTCGGACAACCTAATAGAACATCCTGTAGTCGTCGCAACAATCTCTGCCACCCTCCTCGAAAGATAAACTTTTGGTTTGTTTGATGTCACACATCATCTACCTTGTTTCCGTATTCAAACTTACGCACCAAGAAGAAAGCCATATCACTCACGTACGCCAACGTAGCTAAAGTCCTCTCGAGGACTGTGGGTGTATGATGAGAAGTCATCCGTACGGCTAGGATCACAATGGGGTAAACAACAATGATTATGGCTTGTGTAGCACTTGCATAACGTAAAAATGACATCGTATCTCGGTTTAATGTTGCCTTGAACGAGCGCGTGACGTTGAAGCGGGTCCTGCAAAACCGGAAAACAAAACGGTACATAGATGTTTGAGTCTTATAGGTGTTTGCTCAGGGCCGTGTCATACTGCTGTACTGACTGCGGCTGAAAGCGGCGGCCGCAGCATGTTCTTGTAAAAAAAAGAACGACTTCGATTACGACTGACACACCTTGAATGACGAGTGGGAAACTAAAAGTTGTGATTTCCCCCTTTTCAGTCAATTAGCTCCTGTCAGTGCCGTCGGCTGCAGTCATTTGCGGTCAGTACGGCAGTATGAAACAAAACCGCAAAAGGTCAAAATTCAAATTCAACGCTATCGTAAAATTTCGCCCCAAGAACAGGATTTGTGTCTTTGGGGCTAAAAGATGGTCAAATAGAGTCCAATAGGGCGATGGGGATGGGGCATGAGAGAAAAGGGCTCGAGTTTCTAACAAGGAGAGGATACTTACAAGTTGAAGTTGTTAGTTGTTGTTGTTAGTTGAAAGCACCAATCCAGATGAGACACATATCATCTTAAAGAGCTTGAAACGCTGATTCCATATCTGTAGTTATTAGCAGCGAAGCGGTTTTGTAGAAGGAGTTATGAGGGGTGTTCCCTTTGGGGTTGAGGCGCCCTCCAGCAGGTCTCTCCTTGTCTATGAGCACTGTAGAGGAGTACCAACTGGCGGCAAGTGGCCTAGTGGTAAGTGCCTTGCTTGATAAAGAGAGTGTCAAGTTTTAATCCCTTTCGCGTGCAACTTTCTCGCAATTCTTGAGCTTTTAAATGGCTCTAGAGCCCTAAAGCCTGAAATTTCTGATGATATTGACGCTATGAAATTAGAAGTGTCAAAAAACCAAAGTATTACGAGTATTAAAATCCTTAATGTAATCTTCATTCAAATTACTTATCACTAGCCAGTTGCTACCAGTTGGTACCAGTAGGGTAAGGGGAGACCTGCTGGAGGGCCGCCTCAACCCTAAAGGGAAGCACCCCTCATAACTCCTTCTACAAACCCATTTGGAATCAGCGTTTTAAGCGCTTTAAGATGAATGTGTCTCATCTGGATTGGTGCTTTCGACTGAGTATCTTCTCCTTGTAAGAATGTGCAAGTGATTTCTTATTTGCACAGCTTGTGAAAAGATTCTCTCGCGATTGTAGCTATCGTTAAGCCTTTTTTTTGGAAACCTCAGAGTCAGAGACCTGCAAAATTCGAACAGCATTCCAAAATTTTTTTTGAATGGCGTGGCCAGTGCCACGCGCCCTTTCTTGGGGGTCTGTTGCCCTTTCCCCTCCCTTCCACCCCCCTTCCGCTCTATCAGAAAAAGGCCAATGAAATTGCCGCACAGTTCAAGAATGCATTCGTTTGCCACGCATGTGAGTTGTGAAGTTTCGTCTACTCTAGAATGACTATCGGGGATTTGTTGTGTTCCTAACTCCTTTCGAAAACACCCTCTTCGAACTCTTTTCTCCTTCAGGCACACGAGAAACAGGTAATAGTTAGGCTTGTAACCGTCGAATGGGTCTTCTTGATCCTCGATCTCCAGAGCGTTGTCGGATTCGAGGAGGGGTGGCTGGGCGACTCTTTGTCCACTGCTTTTGGCACATCGCTCGACAACGCTGGCTCGGATTTCTCATCAGTGACATGGTCATTTCATGTAAGGTTTCGTTCTCTGTTAGAACATCTAGTAAAAACTCCAAAGTTTCGGATTGTTGCTCAAGTTGTTGTTAGGCAGCAAGCTGTTCTGTTTTACTTTGATGCCGCAGGTGACTGGCATACTTCATGCGGATCTGATCGCCAATTATTACTGCGTAGTTGGCAAGTCCAATATGTTTCAGCACGGATTCTTTCATCCAGTGGAAGTGGGGCGGCTTCCACTGCTTACCGTATACCGGGTCACCAACTTTGACATCTTTTCCAAATACTCCATGCTTCTTGTCGATTGCTCTTTCATCCCTTTCGTCTTCATCGTGCGAGTTCGATTGATCTGCATCTTCCGACATCCGTAATGACAGGCTCAAACAGGTGAGCAGGTATCTGCTTAAGAACAATTCCTGGAGTCTTGCAGTTCCATTTCGCATTTGGTGTTGTCCTATAGGGTTGTAACACCGCAATAAAGCCTTTCTGCCCCCCCCCCCAATTTAGTTTCCTAATCCCTCGTTACAGCGTATCAGCGAAACGCTCTGCCTGTCCATTCGATTAAAAGTGTTACGAGCAGTTTTTATAGGGGTGATTCCACCTTCGTTGCCCATCTTCTCAAACAGATCCGATGTAAATTAAGTACTGTTGTTGCTCACTTTTTATTCAAAGCCTTCACCGTTTTCGCAGCAAAGATACTTCATCTGTTTCATTTCAGACCGTTTACTGTATGCATCTACTATAATAGAACCAAGTAGAAGACTCCTTGCATATCCGGCGAAGTGTATTCGCTGCCACACTCGACTCTCAAATGGCCATCCATGCTTCTTCATGATACTTTCGTCAGATTCTTGGTTAGATCCTGACAATTCATCTCTGTAAAAGGTCTTCTTCGCAAATCTTGTCGATATTCGACTAATAACTTCAAGCCAGCTCTTTCATCCTTACAGTTCCTGGATGTGCAACATGCGGTTCCTTCAAAGCATATGCTGAAGCTCCTTTGTTATTGCAACTCTTCCGGCTTACATACGACATTGCCCCCAGATTGGTAGTGTTTCTCGTCGGTTTCGAATGCGCTTGTTCTCTATTTTTGTTTACAAAAGTTAAATATTGGGACAATTTAATACAAAAACTTCTTTGAGCAGTGAGCATATCATCTGCTGAAGCACATATCCGCTACGGGGTCGAAGTGGAACTTTTCGATTTTGATAAGGGCGAATATCACTTTCGAAATTTCGGTCACATTACCACCTCGTTTAGTACTGCAATGTGCTTCGAAAGCTCCATCAATTCTCTTCCTTGTTTCCTCATTTCTTTGATCAAGAGCAGCATCTCCTCTGAGCCCATTTTTGACACGGTGACCAATGGCTTCCGCTGTCGTAAGGTCTCTAGTGCTGTCTGTGGTCTCTTCTTCGACTTGATCATGGGTGCTTCGTTACTCTGGCTACTTCTTCGAGTAGCCGCTAATTCCAATCGCCATTGTTGTGTCCCTTTCTCCTTTTGGGGATATGGCCATGTCTTCGTCCCTTCAGCAGACAAGAAGCAAGTTATATCACTGACAAGGGAAGTTCACTTAGTCGAAGTGGCGATTCGGAAGGAGATCTATACCAGAGGATAGAGCTTAAAAAACTGATTTCAGATATACCTTCTATATCTGCGACGCGTTGTTCTGAAAAAAGTTATGAGCTTTTTTAAAGCCCAATTTTCGTGCATTTTGAGTCGCAAAATCATGATAATCGCTACACAAAAGTGTGCAAGCTTAAGCAAAACACCTAATAAGCATTGTAGGATCTAACTCAAGTTCATTCGAACGCTATCGAATGTTTTTTGACCATGCTGTTCATCCACAGGTCGTCATTTCATTCCTAGATCACACTTCCATTATGTATACAAAAAAGCCGCATAACCTCCATCTAGAAAAACGCGTCGCAGATATTGAAGATGTATTTGAAAACATCGTTTTACGTTCTATTCATTGGCAGTTTTCAAAAAGTTTCCAACGCGACGCATTTTTCTAGATGGAGGTTGTGGGGCTTTTTAAAGTATACATAATGAAAGTGTGATCTAGGAATGAAATGACGACCTGTGGATGGACAACATGCTCGAAAAACATTCGAAAGCGTTCGAATGAACTTGAATTAGAACTACAATGCTTACTAGGTGGTTTGCTCAAGTTTGCACACTTTTGTGTAGCGATTATCATGATTTTGCGACTCAAAATGTACGAAAATTTGGCTTTAGAAAAGCTCATAACTTTTTTCAGAACAACGCGTCGCAGATATAGAAGGTATATCCGAGATCAGTTTTTTAAGCTCTATCCTCTGGTATAGATCTCCTTCCAAATCGCCACTTCGACTAAGTGAACTTCCCTTGTGAGATGAGAAATAAGTAAATAAAGGCGGGAAGAGGCAAATTCGAGCTGACACTGGATAAGGGTAAACGCTGCATACAACAATTTACTGTGCAACAAGTTTCTTTCGTTTCTAGCGTTAAGTATCATTGCCAAGAAAGAGATCATCCAGAAAGAGATAAGCAAACTAAATGCTGCGCGCTAATTTGCTTGAGGATATTGCATACTATTAAAAACATACTGAAGAATCTACGGACTTACTTCTGCACTTTCTTTTGGTGCGTCCGAAAAAGTAGTACAGACATAACCAGGCAGACGCAATTTAATGGTAGAAGAGCTGCCGTGATGATGCTTACTGTCTCTAAAAATTGGAATTTCTGTGAATTTTCGAGAGCAGGATGCAAACTTACTCATGCTTGACGTTGGCACATTTAGACAAGACAACAATGTCTCAGTGGAGTCTACTTTTTGATAAATAAACATCACCAAAATGATGATAAGCGGCATCTGAATTTCATTTTTTATTCGGTTCCGTAAGTCCTTGATACTAATATGTGATAGCCTAGTACATTTAACTAATACTACAATGTAGTGATATCACATTGCTGACAATAGTTGCGCGTAAACAATGCTTATGTGTACCGGCCGCTTTCTGCGCGCAAGCCACTACCAAGTTGTTGGAATTTACAAGCATGGCATTCCTTGCGTGAACGTTGTTATCATCGCAAGAGCAATACGAACTATCAAAACTAAATATTATACTATGTATAAAAATTACCTCAATACTGAGTAGAATTGCAAGGACGTAGTTTTGGAAAGATTTGTGAAGGACCAAGAATGTGCCCAGAATCCTGTCCACATACATGAAGTACTGGTTCAGTACCATTAGAAATACACAAAAGGAGAAGATGTATCGAAACGGGGCGCAAAACTTCACAGTGTTTCGTACACCGCATGGATCCAATGGACTGACTTGAAAGGACTGATAAAGATGAAAAATCTGGAATTTGAACGAAATTGGAACTTTCTATAAAATTCATTCTGCTTTCAATTTCCTTGAAATTAATTAGTATTCCACCTGGGTTGGCAAAGCCAGCGAGAATAGTAAAGGAGAATGTAGGTCCTTTTGCACCACAACAATGCTTCAGTTCATCTTCATGGAGGACCGTAGCCATGCTGACTGCACTATGCGGCGACTTTTGGTTAAGACAAATAAAGGGAATAAGGTTTGTTGCGTGCAAGGGTCCGCAAGCTACGATCATTTTATTGTAGTGCAAAACGACCTCCTTTCAAGGAGAAAGCCAACACATATACAGGTGTGAATCACGTGCTCCCTTTTCAGAAGCAATCACGCATCCGCAGCGCGTGGGCAATGCGCAGTAATTCCGAGACGCGGCAAATTCGAATGCTCAAGCGCTACGTCCGCAGACGCGACACGGGCCTCTAGCGTTGCGCCTATGATCGGAAAGGGAGCACATTCTTGACACAGACTTTTTGTCCTTGGATCATCTGCAACACAGACATTTGTATGGTTTCGACATGTACCCGGTAGTACATACTGCTACATTTTTTTTTACGCTAGAAAGGGTCTTACTGAAATGCCGTTAATGCTAGTTTGTCGCTGAGAGTAGCGTGCAGGCTCACATATCCAGCTACAAATGACTCGACGAAAGTGTATATTTAGGTAGGTCTCACGACTTGCATCTGCAGCATCGATGTGAAAACGGATCAAGGCAGAATCCTTTTCATGCGTGTTCATAGCTGACTACCTCACACAAGCGCCAATATCAGAAAGCGGTTTTCTTGTAGACTACAGAATTTGAACCCGCGTCGCAGTAGCAGCATAACAGCACATTAATTTTGATGTGTGTTTGTGCAAAGGGCAGTAAAAACTGCGAGTAATCACTGGAACTGCATATATTAGGTGGTCTAAAAAGCAACTTCGCTTTTTGTTTCGAACAAACCCAAATTTCGAATAACAAATTTGAAAGATATGAGTAGCATTCGATGCAGTTTCATTCTCAAATGGTTATATTTCTAATGCATTTCAACCAGCATGCTTTCAGAATTTACCATAACTATGACCAATAGTTTTCATCGTGGTCAAAATAGTTTTTAGATTTTCAAACTGATTCTACGAAGAACTCTGATGCATGAGTAAACCTTATGGGACATAAATTATTTTTTGCTTCTGTACATGAATAGCAGTTACTTTTTTTGGTGGAAGTTTTACCGAGTTTTAACAGGACTACCTTAGTCAAAAAAGCATCAACTGAGGAAAATGATTACGAATCAATTATTTTACAAAGCAGATGAGCGTTTCCGAGTTTGAAAAACCGAATCTCAAATTTTCTTTGCTTACAGCCATGGGTGTATTCGAAAACATGATAGGGCGATATCAGAAATAAAAAACGTCTGTTGGAAAGAAGAGGAAAAGTTGCACTGAGCGAGACGTAAATTGCCTGCCTGCTCTTCTATGAGCTTTGAATGAAAAAAATATGGACTCTAATAGCATGAAAAAATATGTTGAAATACTGGAAACTATGAAAGGAAAAAGTTAGTTTGTATCCTGTAGCGTTCTCTCTAATTATCTGTTTGGACTTTTTCGCAGGGTCGTTATGATTATTTAGGAAAGGCGGAGCTCGACCATAGCAAAAAAAAAAAGCAGGGCTCTAGTTATTGGTTTTTTACGAGCATTGGTCAAACTGCATTGTAAGTACAACATTGAAAGAGCAAAATTGCATCGATTAATGCCAATTTCTTTTTAATTCTTTTTTTCCGCTGGAGTGGTGCTTGTTCAAAGAAAAAAGAAAATCATTACTTTGGCACATAAGTTTTGCAACTTTTCCCATCACGTTATTCTTATTCTATGAAACAAACTCATTTCTGACATGTAGACTGTGATGCAAGCTGCACCGGTAAACCGTTTGGTTTTTGATAACGAGTAGGGAAAATTTAGGCGATTTTCGAAAACTGCCTAAAATCGAGGATTCACGTTTTTTAACAAACATGAAGCTGAAGCCTTACAGGACCTGAATCAAACATATCAAAAAGTAATTATAGGCCATGTAGCTAGAAGTTGACACATTAGAATCAGTAAAAAAAGAGGTGAAAATCGAAGGCAAACTAAGATAAGGCGCCTCTGAGACTACAGCAAGTCAATTGCGTCAAATTTGGAGGGGAGGGGGGACAATCTGTCGATAAGTAAGCTGCGAAACCTCAGAGTTTGCTATGCACAGTACTGTAATCCTATATGGTGAACACAAATATCGTATGCATTTGTCGCTAAGATGAAAATTCATCCTTTGACCTAACAAAGGAGGCCTTTTCATACGAAACGGGTCTCATTTTTGTGATCAGCATGCCGAATGACACTCATAGGCCAAGTTTCAACGAAATCTGACGCAATCCAAAAATTTTCCCATTATACCGTAAACCTACCGTAAGCCTAACATAAAATGGGAGAAAACGGCGAAAATGTCTGCATTTGAAGTTTACATCACAACCATTATATTGTTAAAAAATGAATGCGTTACGTTCGAAATAATAAAAGTTATATAAAAAGTTGTTACCTATGTGACAACTTAATAATCGGTTTTCCCCGAAAGTTTTGTCCGTTTTTTCAAACCAGTATAAAACCACGCGCATAAAGAACTGAATGAGTCTCAACATGCATTCGATGCAGCTTTTCTCTCTTTCTTATGGATACATTTTCGAACCACAGACTTGTATGCTTTTTATGATAATTGCCAAAATTTTCCACTCGTCAATTTTGTGTGCTCAAAGTTAGGCTTATTTTTGAAAATTTTATTCCAAAGTTTTGGAAAGAGTTATTGTGGATCAAATAGAGCAATTCTCGCGCTACAAGGTAACTTTTTTAGATTTTCCTAATTTTTTTAGATTCTCCTAATCTGCTGTTTTTAGCTTCAAAAAATTGTTTCTTCGGAGGCCTCGATTTTTGGCAAAGTCATGAAACACGCAACTGCAGCAAATACACGAAAGCTTCTAAGTTTCTGCGAACTGGAACATGATTCTTATTAAACATTATTTATGCAACATATCCAAGTTTGATTTGCTCTTAAAAACAGCTTTGGGAATTGGTATTTCATAAGGTAAAAGTAATCAGAAAGCCGAGGTTTTTATTAAATAAATAATTATAACGGAGTTGGTAAAGGTGGCCTAAGCAATCTAAAATAAATGCAATATAGCCAAAGGTTTCTCTACAAAACAGTTACCAGCGCTCTTTGAAAACATTGGGATAAATTTTTTTTTGAAATTCAGGAAAATTTGGCGTTACTGCTGAGCTGCTCGTAAAGCCATGGCGATAACATTGCGAAGGCAGGGTAGATCAAAGAGCAAATACAGCAGTAAGAAAGAGGATACAAATCTGAATCAAATGGTACCTAAGTCGTCCATGGATTGGTGTTCTGTGAGTTTTAGTGAGCAATGAAAGAAACGGACAAAACTTTCGGGAAAACCTAATACTTTCAAAACGACCTGACACAATGCATTATCTATCCTTTCGCACTTGCAGTTAGTAGAGACATCAATCCAGCTCAATTGTAGAGACAGCGACCCAGCTCAAATGTAAAGCGCAGTATCTTACTTTGTCTTCATGTATTTGCGGGTTCGTTTTCATAATCCTCTTTTACGTCCGAGGCATGCTTGAGCGCTTTCGCATTCATACAGAACGCGCTACATGCTCATAAACTAAGTCTGCATTTTTTTATTCGTTGAAATTGCTTCAGAACTACTAAAACTCTATAGGAACCAGACAGCTGCCTACATAAAGGAGGCAATGTAAAGTGCTAAGAGAGAGAATTAAGAGAAACGCGAACTCGTTGAAAGATTTTCATTTTGAGTGTGGGCCAGACCCTATCTTTTGCAGTATTATGGCTACCGAAGTTAAAGGCAGCGTCCAGGCAAATCTAGACCAGGGCTCGGCACGAGGTGGCTAGTTGAAAATGCAAAAAACGAAGTCCCCCTTGACTTCGCCACAAAAGTACGATGTCCCCTCGACACGTTAACGAACAAATCAAACATGAAAACAAAAAGAATGAAATAAAATACAATATCGACAATAATTAGGAAATAAGAACTAGTGACTGTTTGTATTCTCCGGATTGGCGGCATGCTGTGTTCGCCGCGCACCAACGCGAGCTTGGAGCACCTTTGCCACTGCCATCAAGATAATTTGGAGGGCCATAACTAGGCGGGGAGGAGAGGGTTTGGGGAGGTACAAGCGCTGTTTTGTACAATATTGGATGTAGATTACTTTTATGTAAAAAATTTTGAAAAATTATGTGAAGAGTAGGAATTATATGACTTTGTTTGCGTTAAGCCACTTCAGGTGGCTATCCAGGTGGCTTGAAAGCCACCTAACCTCGAAAAAAGTTTGCCATGCCCTTAGTTCACATAATTTTTTCATAATTTTTCATACATAGTCCCAACTCCCCATTGCCTATCTACACACCTATTTTGGTGCCATTTCATCTTCACTTCGCTGT